AGACCTTTTGTTTGCGGTGGTGGGCCTTTATGTTAGATCCAGATGCTTCTAACAAAACCGAGCGACACCGATGGCGGTTGTTGCTGTTGCTGATTTCGGCGAAAAAGTCCGCGGCAACGATGAAAGGACACGCCGCCGAGAATGGAACGAAAAAAAAAAAAAAAAAAAAAAGAAAATACTTCTTTCGAATTTGATTTATCGACTATAGGACTTGACTGTCACTGTCTTTTCACTTGTAATCACACGAATTTGTTTGCATCCGGCAAGCAACTTGCTTAAAGTTTGAATAATCTCAGCGACCATTTTTTATTTTGTAGAGTCTCACGTCTGTCGGCAATAATAAGGCCCAACGACGAGAGGAGAAAAATATCGATGACTAGCAAGTCGCAAGCTTGGAAAGCAAACGTTGTTGGAAAATGTTGGAAGAGAGCGGCGGGCGGTCGAGAAGTACGGTTGTAAATTGCTGATGTTCATTGCGTCACGGTTAAACGTGCCGGATCTACGGAGACACGGAGTGAAAAAGGAAGACTCGCCGCGTGGAAGCAATGCAGTTTCCTGCCGATCCCTTTCGGACGTTCGGGAATGGGAACAATGCCAGTCTGGATCAATAGTCATCTCGACTAAACGACAAAGACGCATTTCCCCCCCCCCCCCCCCCCCCCTCCCCAAAGTCGTATAGTTCTCCCGCCGGAGTGGAACGTCGCGCGTTCCAAGCTGCTACAGATAGAAAGAGATTCTGAGTGACGCCCGTGACGACGCGAATAATGCAGTGTCGTAAAACACTAATGTCCCATCATCTAACTCCTTGGAAATGCTAACCGTACTACGTACGAATACCAAGAAAAGTCTCAACAACCGCTGCAATCTATCTGTCAACGCGTGAAACGAATCGAAACAAAGAATAGAATGTTTCCGTCTGCCATTGAATATAAAAAGTTACCTGATTCGAAAAGTATTCTAACCGGATAACAAGCAGAAGAGTGGAAGAAGAAGAGGCGACAAGAACGAGTTTCGGCAAGAAGAGAAAGGGAAGAAAAAGGAGAAAGAAAAAAAGAAAGGAACGATGGGTGTCGTGTGTCGGTGAAAACCCGGAAACGTGATAGACGCATCAAGGGTTGAACTTGATGGAAAATCGGGCGAGCCGTTGAATAGATTCCATTTTGATGAAGACGAGGTGTCGGTAGGCTGGTCGACGAGGAAGAAGGAAGGCTCAGATCGCGTTGGTGCAAAGAATTTGCGCATTAACAGTGCCGTAGGGGAGAGTGGAAAAAGAAAGAGGGTGTTGCCCGATATCGTAGGTTTTTACAGGGCGAAAGCATGGCAGTTCTTCGGCCATTTATTATTTCCCGCCACGCACCGGCGTCCCAACAATACCTTCCATTGACAATTTCTGCTTCACACACGACGCCGCGCACCGCGACGCTCCGCCCACGATCCAACTACAGAGAGAACCGACGAGCCCTCGGTCTCCACTCCAACTTCTGTCGTTCTCCTTTGCCGACACCGATCTTTCGGGGAAAAGATCCCTGTTCGAATCTCGTACGTACTCTCACTTCCACACACACGTATGTATATACTCACCACCACCACATCCAACTTACACCGCCCTCCCTCCTCTGCCTTCGCTCCATAAATATTTCCTTTCCAAATCTTTCCTTCTGTTGGGAAACAGAACGCTTCTGTTCCCGTTTCTTTCCCTTATCGTTTGTTACGTAAAACAGATACAACCGGTGGTGGGTGTATCAAATGGAACGTTTAAGCGTTGTAAACGAACGTGTGTCTGCATTAAAACGATGTAAATTATATGTATATGCACTCGTACTTTCATATATAACACACGCTTGCTATAACGTACAATTGTAACGATTGCCAATGAATAATTCTTTTTATTTTTCATGTAAATGTACAGAAATAGGCACTTGTGAAAATATTTGCATCTGATAAGTATAAAAAATAGTACGAATTACTATCTACTTTGACAGAAAAGAAAATACCTGAAATGCAGGCGAAATCCTATGATCGAGAGGAAGAGGAAGAAGAAAGAGAGGGAGGCCATGTCCTCGTGACAGCGTGTTGCCGTTGCCGTAACCTCGGAAATGAGCACTTGTTCTACAAATCAAGAGCACAGTCCGTCACTTTCGCGGCATTCTTCTGCTCGATCTGTTTCCACCATACATTTGTTTGATGCGTATTGTCTACTACTCTAACAATTAGTCACTGTATTTATTATTTTACGAGCACCAGGTACTTGCTTATCTGCATATAAATACAATTCCGATGTTTCAGGATACTTAACTATGTACCTTGAACCGAAAAGGTTTCCCTTCGCTGTAAAGTTAGGCGTATCTTCCTTCAGAATTTAGCTAATGCTCCAATAGTGCAAGCATTCTGTAACGTAACAACAGTAATTTATATAGTGAAAGCTTAATTTACTACCCTGTAAAGAAAGTTAATATTAGAAATGATTAAGTTTATCGTGATTTTATAGAACTATAAAAAGCACTTGGATACTTTATATTTTACAATCAATATATTCAAACTTTAACGCGGATACACAGATACCATACATGTATCGGTACAATCTCGATTCGAAGGTCAAATTTTAAATTTTTCAATTCGAAACGACGTCAGGTCGAGATTTCATATGGAAACAGGTAGGCAACGTACGACGGATTGCTCGTCGATAGGCGCCCCATGGTTCTGCATTTCTAAAGCTGCATTACCAAAAGAGCCACGTAAAATCGAACCAACATGCCAAATCGAATTTATCTATGATTGTTTGAAAAATCTCGTCATTCCAAATATTTCGTCTTTGCCAACTCTTTAAGCTAACGTTTCAGCTCTATATTTTACGTTACTTTGCTGTACTTGTTAAACAATGATCTGTGATGATACTGAGAAATAAAAGCTCCGCAGAGGATACAAAGAACCCTTGCACCTCGCTTTTGCTAAGCACAATGGCACCATATTGTGAAAATATTGATTACGATTCGCCAACAATGGAGACAATGCCGTCGACTTCGCTGCCGTGGCGACACTTGAAAAAAAGAGCTTCTTCTCAAGTACGTCTTGTATGCCTCACGGCACGGCGCGGCACGGCGAGGCGCGGCGCGGCGCGGCGCGACGCCGCGTCGTGTTTCGCTGAAGTTGAATTCCTTCTGCGTTGAATATATTACATATTATACAGAGTTCTTTTTTTGTTACAAGGAGCAAAGTGTTTGTTTTGTTGTAAGTTTTTGTTGTAAGAAGTAGAAATACTCGAGGCACTTTCACGCTCATTTAGTATCTATATAATATCTGTCAAATTTTCGCGACAGATTATAATCAGAAGGTCTAAATAAACAGGACTGTTCGATCTTCTCTCGTATCGATTCGTAATCATCACGTTTCCTTCTAGTATTATGTTTTAAATAAAACAAATCAACAAACGGCAGTTCATCATACATTTCGGCTTATTTCGGCGAAAGAAAAGTCACAAGAGGCGCAGGTGACGCGCACAAGTGCGTGAAATATAAAATGGCAACGGCAGCATTTAAATATTTTTCACTCTCGAAAGATCAAACAGATAGGTAGGCCGCTCGCTTCGTGCTCACCAATAAGCCGTCCAAGTACTCGAAGAACTGTTCACGTGCTTGTACGTGTCCAACTTAAATTTGCTGACGAGCCTTCGGGCGTTCTTGAATGACGGAAAGCGGGATGAAAAGAACGGCGAGACAGAAATGCCAAAACTTTCGAATCGAATAGACAACAAATTAATTCCGTCGGGTAAAATAAAAAGAAATTTAAATTATATATTTTTAAAACTACTTTTTTTTATTTCTATCGACGATGCAATTGCGTTAGCAATTTAACGTAATTTGATCCAAAAAGAACAATAGTACGAGTTTATCGTAAGAAGAAAAATATAACGATCATCTTTTTTAATAGAAATATTCATTTTCTGTTTTAATTCTCAAATTACAAGCGGATAAATATCTACATACATACGACTTTATTATTTCTTATGGATATAATACCTATTATCAGTTTATTTTTAAAAGCTCCATTAGTACCTATCATTAAGTATTTTTTGAGGATCTTTAAAGGCACAATATGGTTGAAAATTGCCTTGAAATTCGAGTGTATTTTCGTACGATAGGTATCGCTCGACTCGTTTTTTTTACGAGTGGAATATTTAGAAACAGAACAGAATCGCGACGAGCACTTAGTTGGAGAAAATCAAAACGGCAAATGATGAAGAAAGAAGGACGTATGTATGTATGATTTTTTTTTTTTTCTCTCGAATCAACGAGCCATTACGAAAACGGTCGGCCTCCTCTCCGCCCCAATGCCAACAACAAAACGCCTCTCTAGAGCTGGCGAAATGCTCCTGAATCGAACAAATTTCGAATTTCGTGCATGTGAAACGAGAGGATAAATGTATGGTGCGTGTACGTTCACGTAAGAGCACGAGCAAGAGGCAAACGAATGCACGCACTCGCTCGAGGGACTAAATTGATCGAACCCGTTTTGTTTGTGGTCACTCTTAAAACTCGAGTGACAAAGAATCATGCTCCCCTAGCGTCGATATGTTCGTTTCGAGCGTTTTTCTTTTTGCCCGCTGCGCTCGCTGTTTCCCCTTTGTTAACTTGTACGCTCTTTCTCGCATTTCGAAAACGTGAGACCATTGTTTCCCCTCTTCCTCTACCGTTCTACCAACCGAGTCGTGTTCTCTTCCGTAAAATTTTCAACACGCATACACACGCGCGCACATACGCGCCGTTCTTCCTCTTCCACCTTTCCTTTCTTTCTTCTTCTCTTGGATCTTTTATGGCGAGCCATATGGCGAATATAATAATTGCTTGTTAAATAAAATCAAAAATGATAACATCCATCAGCACAGAATCTACTTACTAATACTTCTATAGGATAATTATTTAATTATATTCTTTGAAATATGACGTACTACTCATTCAGAAAATATAGCTGTAATGCTTATCTTATCGTATGCGATTAGCAAACGATATTTACTTCATTTTAATGAACACTAGCTGTCTTCTAAAATATAATACGTTCGAAATCGATGGAAGAAGTTTACATAACGAGTGTAAGAAAAACAAATTCTGTCAAAAAAGTGTTGATATTCGATCTTATTACTCAATTATCGACAATCGTTCGATCGTCGAGACTCTGCAGTAAGGAAGATTGAAGATTTTTACTGGTGTATTTCGTAGAGAACAAAAAAATGAGCAACAACGATTTATGGATACGCGATGCGATTACAAGTTATGGATTGTTATTGTTTGTTTTTGTTATCGTCGTGATTTTAATATCACGAAAATGGTCGGACTTGAAGAAGTGCATTTACAAAGCTTACTTGACCGGATTCGAAGTGGAGTGTGCCGAACTCATGATACCATACAAGAAATTCTTATTCAAATCGTTGCAACACGTTGTTTCAGGCGACAAAGTATTACGATCTATGGGCTGCATACGTCTCCTTGAGATTGGTATTAAAACGGGTGTGCATTCCACGTATGTATATACATTATCAATAGTGTTGCGGATGTAACGTATCTGAAATACATATTTATTTTGTCTTTTATATGTAACATTTAAACAAAAAAAAAAAAAAAAAAAAAAAAGATGAAAAAAAAAATTTTTATAATTAAAAAAAAAAAAAAAAAAAAAAAAGATAAAATCAGATCGTGGTAACCTTTCCCTTCTATAGATGTATGTATCTGTGCGATTAAGGCACATGATTAAAAAATACATGTATCAATCTTACAGGTGAAAATATACAATTTTATCCAGACAGTACACGTTTGATTGGTGTTGACCGAAATCGGAGATTACCCGAGTATCTAACAAAAGGAAATCGTTCTTGGCAATTCTCACATATCATTATTGAACGTTTAATAGTTGGTGATGGTAGCTGTCTGAGAGAGGTACCTACTGGATATGTAGATGCGGTTGTAACAACAAGATCATTATGTTCGGTAACATCGTTGCAGTCGACGCTTCGAGAGATCCATAGAGTGCTGGCACCGGTAAAATAACTAATCTATTCTTTCAATCTGATATTCCTATGTCTTCATTATTAACAATCAGCAATCTATACTTACAAGTATATTTCGCGGTAAAATTTAAAATTTAAAATGGTGTTAACTATTGATATAATGGTGGTGATGATGATATTTATTTGTTTAACTTTCCTTTCATCAGTAAGATACAAAAACTATACATGTGACAATATGAGATTAGATAACAATTAACGATGTACTTTACGTTGTATGTTGTAGGGTGGTCAATATATATTCATAGAACATATACCTGAAAATGAAGGAACACTTCTACGATGGTTGCAAAAGATTTTATCACAAACAAAAATATGGCCATCATTTTTTGGTGGTTGTCGCTTAGATATTGATCCTGTTGTAAATATTAAAAGTGCTGGTTTTAACCACATTACGTGGGATATATTTACACTCGACGGTTACGTATCTCATCCTTTTTATTTGATTCTTTCAAGGCAACATGTATTAGGCATGGCAATTCGATAGTTAAATTTAATAAAACAGGAAAATAAATACAAAGATACATATAAAATATAAAGACATAAGGATTTATATAAATATAAAAAATAACATCTACATATTAATATAGATACATACATATAAAGTAAAAAATAAAGAGTAAATTCTAAAAATCCTTAAATTCAATTTTTGCAACTATATGTACACTGTGTTTAAACAAGTTTAATTTATTTACACAAACATATGTAAAATATAATCTTATACAATGCTGGATATATGTTACATGTATCACATCATGAGAAACACTAGAACTTTGTTGCTCACTGGATAGGAATTTACAAATTGAAAGCAGTATATTTCTATATTTTCCAATTCTATATTTTCATTACAGTATCAATTAACTAAATTAAATTGTATAATTTCTTATTAGAAATACAAAATTATTTCTGTCAATAAATTTGTTTTTACACGATTACTGAAATATTTGAATTGTCTATTTCTTTTGAACTTATGACACTACATAAAAAAAATTTAGTATTAAAAATTGGAATCTTTATTTAACCCTTAGGAACACGCAATTTAAAAAGAAAAAAACTACCTGCACGAAAATTTTTTTTAATATAAAAAAATATATAAAAAAAAACGTTTATTTCAATTATTAAATATAAAATGAAAAAAAATTTTAATAAATTCTTTTTTACAGAGTGGGGCATGAATAATCTCACCATGCAACTAATGTTTTAAATAAAATTGAAACACATCTTTAGGAGGGTTAAAAAATGTTGGACAACTTTAAAGCCCCTAACCCCACAGAGTTAATAGAGCTGTTCAAATATTTCATGTTTTCTTACTAGTCAGCATTTTTCTTATAAAAGACAAAAGAAAAAAGATACATGTCATAAATATATAAAATTAATACACATTACTGCTACATTGGTTATAAAATATTCTACAACTTTCCCCCCTTTTCTATTTTTTTTTAATATTTATAATTTAAAATGACGCGGGTAGAAATAATACAGACTAATTGTACGTGTAAAATCTGTTCCACTCTAACTCAATAAAATATTTCAAGAGATTCTTCTTTTTAAATAATAATTTGTTAAATTACTACGTTTCATTCGTTATCTACAAACAAATTATTAAATGAATGTTATGATGTTGTCAATGATTCAGAATCAGAATCAAAGATTTTTGTTCTAAAGCATAAAGATTTTCTTTTCTTGTTTATAGGTAATAATTTAGTTTGATTTTTGATTTCAGTTTGTGCCTTAATTAATTTCTGATTACAATTTTCATTCATTCTTTTAAATCTAGTATCCTTAATTGGAGACTCAGAAAATGATTGATTTGATAAAATAGTCCCTAATTTTTCCACTGTATTAAAATTTTTATTTAGTGTTTTATGCTGTTGTCTTTGTTTTGATTTTTGTGTATCTTCTGAACAATGTACAAGTTTTATGAATTCATCATCCTCATCAGATGAAAACGTGATGTACTGTCTCTTCTTATTTTTGTTTGCATTTGCATTATTATTTTCAAAAACTATTCTTGGTTCATCAGGACATGATGCTATATCATTTGTATGATGTACATCTTTATTTATATCTGAAGTTTTTGAATTATTATTAAAAGAATTATCCATACTATATACTTTTGTATATTTTCTATTTCTCGTAGCATACTTTCGCTTAAGATTATTCTTACTGGTATTAAGTTTTAATGATTTTTCATTATTTATCCTTTTTACTCCTTTTTTTACACATGCTTTTGACGTATCTACTTTTTTGTTACGAACTTCACTATTTAATCTCTTTCTTTTATTGTAAAATCTTTCTTCTATTTCTAACATATGATTTTTTGTACTAGTAGAATAAGAATGAAGACTACTTTTGGAAGACATGGATAAATTATCTACAGAACAGTCATCAAATGATATATTATCACATTTACAAATAAAAACACTACTTTCGCTAGTAGTGTCGTCAGTCACTAAATTCATAATGTTTGAGGAAAAAAGTTGATTAACATCATTTACATTATCATTTTGTAATTGGGTAGATTTTAATGCTCCACTTTTATTTAATATTCTATTTAATGAAGTAACTGTATCTAAATTATCAAAACTTTTCGTTATGTTAATAGATTTTGTATACTTCTGAATTTCGAGCTCTGATAATCGTTTTAAACGAACTATTGGATTTAGATTTAATTTATTATTTGGTTTTTTATATTTCTCAATATCGCGTTTTGACAAACGTGATAAATAGACAACTAAGTGTTTCATATTCGTCATTTTATTTGATTTTTTATGCCTTTCAGTATTAACTTCTTGTAATCGAATTGTATCTAGATTGTTAATATTTGTTGTCTTTTTTAACTTTTTATATTTTGCAATATCATCGTTTGATAATCGTGTCAAACAAATTAATGGATTTAAATTTTCCCATTCTTTTGTCGTATTATTAGTTTTCTGGTATTTTTCAATATTCATTTCTTGTAAACAATTTATTGATTCATTAAATTTCTTTTGTTTGTTTGCTTGTTTTTTATATAAAGAACTATTTGCACATTTATCAGTCTTACCTTTCACCAAATATTGATTTAACACAGAACTATCTTTAATGTTTTGATTTGTAGAAACAGTATTTTCTATACCATTAGTCAATGAAGTTTTAAATTTTTGCTCACTTCTTTTTTTTATACGTCTCTTACGTTTGTCATAATACGAAACACTAAGTCGACTGTTATTAATTAATTTGTGAAATGGGGCAGAATGATACATTTTTCTTTTGTTATAAATTTTAAATTTTTTTGAGTTACATCCAAAATCCAATGCAGGATGTAAACTTTGGTTTGATATAGATATTGTACTTCTGCTACTACTTTCTGTTCTAATAAGATCAACAGGTGAATCTCTACCACTGTACAATTTCTTTCGTCCTATTTTTGTAAAACTATTTTCCCACATACGGTTTTCTTTTATCGAGTAAGGTTCCTCAGCATTTGATAATTTCACATTTTGTTCAATATGAGAGTTTCTATTAATATCATCAAATGTATGCATTAACATTTTGTTTGTCAACAATTTATTATAATCAGATTTATATTTATTAGTTGTTTCATTATCTGTATTAATTGTTTCTGACAATATATCTATGTTATCGTCATCTGAATTTCTTTGTGCTTTTGTTATATATTCTTCTACATTTATATTCTTTCGTTGAAGCATATGATTTGATATGATATTATCATTATTCTCCAATGTAATACTACCATTATTATTCTTCAATATAATATTTTCATTATTGGTTTTGTGCATTTTATCTTGTATTATTTCAATATCTTGTGCATTCTGGGAAGTTATTACTGAATTATCTTTTGCTCCTTCTATAATAGCCATTGTTTCTACTTTGTTAGTTACATTCATATTTGATAAAATATAAGCAGCAGTATCAACAGAGCTACTAGAAGACCTAGAATGCGATGAACTTGCAGATTTTTCAGTGAATAATCCAACGTCCAATTTGTCCTTGTTCATATAAAGTATTTTGTAGGGTAGATAACCTGTATTTATCCAATATTGTATTACACTTAATGGTTTACACACAAGCTCTTTCTTTGTTTCCACTATTGATTTCTGACTTTCTTCTCTACAAGGTTTTAATGTAAAAATATCCAATTCAGTTTCCTTAAATTCCTAAAACATATAATAATTATTAGTATCATAAAAAGAGAGATGCTATAAATATGTATATATTGAAAGAAAGGAATACAAATTATACATACTTGTTCTGAATATTTAAAAAAGAATTTATCCCAAAATTTTTCTCTATCTTTTATAATGGATGAAGGAATTTTAAATGAATCACGCTTGGAACCTGTGATTCTGAAATATATATGTATTATATATATTTAGATAATATATAGATAAATTATACTTAAAAATACTTAAAAATTGGATGCAAAAGAAACATATAAATAATATAAAAATTACAAATAATGCATAAAAAATATAAACATATATTATATTTCATTTGTCATGTATATTTAATGCACTATTGATGCATGTTTCCAAGAATAATAATCTTTAACAAAATGCTAAAACACTCTCTCAATTTTTGCTGCTTCTTGATTTCCTCTTTGCTTTTGATTAATCAATGTATGTTAAATCAATTTGATAGATATAAATATTTATGTATAGAATTACATTTTTATTTACTAGTATATACATAAAATACTAATTGACTGACAAAACAATAAAAGATTACGTAGGTACTCACAGCTAAACTATTAATATTATATCTTTGACTATTGTTAGGTTAATCATATATATATATATGTGTGTGTGTGTGTCTCATGCCAAATCATAATATTAACCTATTCCAATGTTTAATTTACCTTTCAATAACATCATTATAAGATAATGAAAGTGAATTGACACCAGAAACCTTTTTAATTACTTTATTTACCATAGCGTAGGTTTTTCTTCGAAAGTCATGTACAACAATATAAAAATATTAAATTTCATGATTAACTGATAGAATATAACTAACACGTGTATTGTATAGTCATATATTTAAGAGTGACATCTATTACATTAAGAGTTCGAATAGTTTAGTACATAATTTGTTAATTATTATTTGTATATACGTAAAAACACTGATATGCAAATCTGTAATATACACATATTTAATAAATAAAAAAAGATGTAGAATAGTACCTACTTACATTATAATTTACATGCTTTTTTGTTGTTCACCATAAAGATAGAAATATAAGTGATTCCATAATGATCACATTTTAAAATAATAAAGATTACACAGCTTATGACTACTAAAATGACTTATTCAATTTATTGTCATTACGAGCACAATTAAATTTATAAAAAATTTGATAATTTTATGTGTTTAGTACGTAATATTGATACTTAATAATTTATAATTTACACAATGTTGTACATACACAATGTAAAATTTTAATAATGAAACAACTTGAGTAAAAATGCATAGTATATATTTCTTCTTATATCGACATAATTTTTCTAGATATTAAATATTGAAGAATAGAAATTATTGTGAAAATAATTCTCGTGGCCTAAGTTCTGTCTCTTGTGTTAGAAATCAGCCTAGAGGATGAGATAATATAAGATGGACGCACTGGGAAATAGCTACTAGCGACCTTTCGTGTCCTTCAAACATCAGTTTCTTGAAAGCTGTGGACGCGTTGGTTTGGATCTTACGGACGTCTCATTTGGTCGTTGGTTTTGTCTCTTTAAATTTAGTTTGGCAAGCATTTCGAAAGGTAACAACTAGAATAAATTATGTAGTTTGATAAAGTAATACATAGAACAATACAAATTGCGGCTTCATTTTGATGGGTATAACCTTAAGAATGTATGAGTATTATACTATAATACGTTGTATCAGTTGCAGTCTTAATTTTTATATATATTCTTCATTTAACTTTTACTTGAATTTTATTACAATATGAAACTATTTTATTCGGAAATACGTAGTTTTATGATGAATATACATATGCGAAGCGATCAACACCATATGACCTTGAAATAATAATGTTTCCAATAGCAAAAAATCTCATTGTCAGTGCCTGTCTAGAAAATTATTTGAAATCTTTCCTACAGCTTATAATACTCATATAAAATTCTTTTTCAGATTTATTCTTTCATTGTCTTAAATAGCAAATTCTAGTACTATAATTTTTCATATTTTCATAAGTCTAACAATGAAATTACTCTAAATTGACTTTACAAAACATGATGACAGAAATTAATATATTAATAATAATATTCATGAATTTTTATATGAATATGCAAACATATTTTTGATGATCAATTCTCAAATGTTTGCAATTTGGTTATTTAAACTGTATTTGTAGGAAGTAATATATTAAATAATAATCATAACAGATAAACATACAGTAACATAGTAATAACAAGTAAATATTTATATATATAATCTATTTTGTATAACTTCTGTAAAAAATATCTGTATACTTTGATTTAATTTTAGATTCTTTAAATCATTAATTAAATTTCTAGTTATCTAAACTTTTTTATTTAGATCATTTTGAAAATGATATTTTTCACTTATGTAGAAATATTGACTCCATTAATAATTTATTTATAAGTCAAATACATATAATACATATAAACATGGAAGTAATTGATTATTACATGAATATAAATTATTAAAATATGAGTCTAAAATCATATTAAAGTATAAATACAAAGTACATATATTTTGTTACAAATGGACAGAAATGTATTACATTTTTACTTAATTTAACAATTTCTATACTTGAATAAAAAAAAACTAGTTCCAAGAAATGCCAAAATAGTAAATTACTTACTTTATGTGGAAAAATTTGCTTTAAGGAATGAATAACAAAAAAATATGATATAGTCAGATATGATATTGATTGCTATGATATTTAAAAAATTATTTTGCTAATAAAAAATTTAGATAACCTAATAAAATTGTATAAAACTTGATAGTTTATTTGTTTAATTTGGCATTCTCTTGATACATAAATAATTAAATTTTAAAAGTGAAATATCGAATTTAAAATTTGAAAAATAAATGTGTGTAATCGAAATGATAACGATTATTATACATGTTTCTTCCGTTTAAAAAGAAAAAAGTAGTACACGTACCATTTGTAAATCACTGCATTATAGCGGATCTTTACGTCATAAGATACGATTGCGTAATAGTTCATAAAGTTAATCGTTAAAATTGTTGAACTTGAGATTTTTCAGTAGCATTTTTTTTGTAACACGCCACTGTAACGTGATGATCTTATCATTTTTTGAAGTTAAATTTGACTTCATTGATAACTGCTAGGTCAGATGTGTACATAGTATGTATTGGAAAAATTATTGACCGTTAACTAACTCTTGCGATGAATTTACATATTATTTAAATACAAAAATAAATACAGTATATTTTATAGTAATTTCTCTGCTAATGTATTATATAAAATTATATTAAATATGGTTCTTTAAAATCTACTTTTCAATTTTGTAAACTATTTAAGCTACTATTTTTTAAAATAGTGAATTAGTACAAAGAACTAAGCTTAAAAAATATATATATTTTTAAATTTTTATCGGTTACCATTGTATAAATGAAATCATTGTATATTTTTTTTTTTAAATATAGATAAAAGTACTTTGACACTATATTTTGTGAAAAAAGATAAAAAAATTTAGGTACTTTTTCTTGTTCCTAAATACAATAAAACGATCACTACCAGTAGTATTCAGAAAACAATTTTTAAGATCTAAAAATGAAATAAAAAAGAAAAAAGAAAAAGAAGCGTAAACAATATATGTACATGTAATACAATTTTTACAATAGAAGACGGCAAATGATTCATTTTCATTTGAAGATGCTTTTCCTTTGAAGATATAGAATAAAAATTCTAAAAATCGATGGATCTTTAGATAAGAAAGTATTATAATCCACTGTGTGATACTGTTTGGACTATGTTTAATTGTTTAATCAGAATTCTGTTTTGTAACAAGATAATGATCCAAAGTTTAACTTAATATAGTATATGACATTATTATTGTCCTACTATATTGACATTATCCAATATATGATATTACTTAACTTAATATAAGATTTGTCCAATATAATATATGACAAGTATAAGATTTAAGCCGATATCCGCTCTCTAATATCTTCTATAATATAGAAAAGATGATTTAGATTAGATAATAATATATTGAATGATTTTGAAGAACACGTGATTTAATACAATTAATTTATTTGTTAATGGTCGTATAAAGAACATTCCTTTCTTTATTTTTTAATCATTTCAATAATAATTAGTTATCTTTTTCAATTATTTTAATAATTTGGTAATTATCTTAAACTAGCTTGAAGAATGTTTGTTTGTTACATTTATAACATATGATATATTGCAGAAATGATATAGAAATAAAACAAAAAAAAAAATTTATATATATATATGTCTGCTGTATATGTACATATATATTTGTCATCAAACATATTACTATATTGTTATTTTTACTTCTAAAGTGTATAATTGCTAAAATTAATTAGAGACTCGAAATATCTGCGGACGATGGCGGCAATCAGTGCAAACGGATAATATACTTGCATACGTACACATACATATACGTTAAAAGCTGATAAAGTTTTTACAGCTTTATTAGGTACACGTTTTATTTCTATCAATTTGCCTTAATTAATTCATGGTTCATTTGTTACTCGACTAATTACTCGACATGTTAACATCAATTTTTATTTAATATTCTAAATCATAAAAACGTTTCGATAGTTAACTGTGTATGATTAATAGTTATGTATTAGGTTAATGATGTTTATGTATTATCTGAACATTGTACGAATCGCATGTTGTGTCAAAACCTGTTTATGGTTTTGTTAAGATTCCTAAGAAGTGAAGTATATAATATATAGCATACATACATACATACATACATACCTATGCGACAGACAAATTTTTGTATCTATTATCGGGAATCATCACGATAAATACGTATAGCATATAGAGTCATACAACATAAACAATTTTTATCCATTTTATTTAAATTTTCAAAAATATTTTATCATCACACACATGTGTACGTACACATGTAGATATAGGTATGAACACACAAATTAATCTAATCAATGGGTCAGCGAGTTCGATTTTAATATTTCTTTCCCACATGGTTAGCAATTTATTTATAAAAAATGTCAATCGTATTTAAAAAAAAACAATTCTCAACATAAATATTGCATTATGTTCATTATAAATTATTGTTGCTAATCGCTGTAATAACTGTCTATTCAAGCATTCTTTTCTACCTTTATGGATACCAGGTATCAATGCGATACTATCGATAAAATATCGATAGAACGTGGATGGCGTGAAATAAATTGTAATTATTTTGAATAAATGAATTAGAATGATGATGTCGCCATTTAAGTATCGGTACACCTGCTGTATGCACTGGCACCACCGCCATCGTCTAATTGTAAGACGTCCATTGGACGCGTTCAATTCCCGTGTCTGCTTCCGTTTGTTGCGACACTTCCGTTGCCTGCCGAATAAGCGGTTCACACCTTATGCATCGACGAATACAGTCGGACGTAGTTTCGGAATCATCGATTCTGTATTGCAACTAATACCTGTCTACTCTTTATTTGCGCAGCCTACCAAAATGGTCTGGGTTACCATCCACGATAAGGTACCTTTGAGTAATCAAGCAGTGGACCACAGTGTGTTTTACAATGATTATACTGTGTGTGTGGCTGTGATTTTTTTTTCCTTTCGACTTCAACTTCTTTTCATCATTCACATTATTGTAGTATATTTGATCGTTACATTAGATCATTACTTTGCGTACATACACTAGGCCAAATGTTTGCGAATAGTACGATACAGTTCAATGCTCGAATCGAACTTGGACCTAGGCGCATACGCTTCCGTTTTTACCGTTCGTAATAGATTTAAAAATTGACACGATAATTGATATCTGTATCCAGTTGAAAAGTCCAAATTGAAAGTCGAAACTGCTTTGAAAGAATGTCATTTAAAGATCATGTACATCATACGTATGTTGATATCTATCATGATTGCGAAAGGCAACGTAATACTCGCAAACATTCATTCATTTTTTAAATCTGACTCGAGGCAATAATTTGATGATATTTCTGTCTTTTTTTTTTTACATTTGCTTCATCGTATCTCCCTCGTTATTTAATTTGTTTTACGCTTGACTTGCAATACTTTTAAAATTGAGTGAGTGTGACAATTATTTAGGACTGGCTATTGTAAGTTTTAACTATAAGCAATTGTATATTAGAGAAAAAACGACTGTTTTAACTTGCAATTAGTTTCTGCATGGTTTTGTATGATTTTTTACAGTATGAATTTTAGCACTTGTGTGTTTTTTTTTTTTTTTTTTCCTAATGTATTCGTTAGAATTTCGATACTTTTTTAAACGTCTCCTCGCTTAAAGCCTATTGAATCTTGTAAAACTAGTTCACACGAGCAATTTTGTTACTTTTGCTATCACTATCGATTAATTTGTTACATATGCACATATGTAAATAGACTGTTGAACATGTTCATTAATTTTTATACATTCGATACTAATTTTATATACTTGTGACAGCAACTTACGACGCCTCTCTCGTTCAAAAGAAAATATATTCTTTCAAGTGTTTCAGTTTTTCCTATAAATTATGTATTTCACTGAATGACTAATAAGAAACGTTCTCGAAATTTATCCTTATTGAATCAATCCTCCCCTCGTACTGTGTAAGATTTCTGCATGATGCAGAAATTCAAATTTTTAATGTACATACATTTATTAATACATTTGCTGCTATATATACTACATTCAAAATTTATTGTTGAAAAAGTCGAGTTAGGAAAGAATAGCGAACACGTAAACGTAAAGAGATGCGAGATGATATCGATTAGTTTTAAATTAAGGATTTTTTAAGGATATTTCGGATTCGGTATGCAACTTCTGCGGAGAAATTGCTATATCTTTGTAAAAGCGAATATCTTAAACGTTGTTTGCCATTTCTTAATTATTCGCCTTTGATTGATAGCTTTTCAGTTTTTTTTTTTACAATATATAACACTAACAAAGTAAATAGTCAAGTTTGAATTAAACGATAGCTTTGTTCAGACAAAAGGAGTTTAATTTTATGCAACATTCAATGACGAAATATATATTTATTTGGTTATTGTTTGACAGTGATTATTCAAGTTAGGGGTGAACAAGTTTTCTTATGAATTTTACTTCGAGGTAACAAGCTTATTCTGTTCTACATTTTCATACATATGTCTATAAAGAGCTATATCAAAATACAAGGACAAAAACTGGAAACAAATTAATCGATGCTCTTTGAGAGAGTAAATTAAAAAAAATCAAGGACAAAAGAGTATTTATCAGGTTGCAGGACTTTTATATAGTAGTTGGAATTTAAAATTCCTTGTTTCGATTCGAACACCTACAATTTTCGTATCTAAAGAACGTAAAGAGATTACCTGCTAGTGAAGGATTCGAATTTTACCAAAAATTATAATATACGCTTGAAAACATGATGACATGAAACATATTCTCTTACCGTGCTCACAAGAAAATACAACTTGCTAATAAGTAATAAGCAGTGTTAAGTTTCACGAATGTACACATCAGTTATTTATGTTTACTTCTGACACGTTCCATGTCGTGAGCGACTAATAGGACACGATACCTACAAAATGCTTTTGAATTATTTTAATTTCAACGTTAATCCTGATATTAGTAATAATAATGATATATATTTTTCCGCTTAATTTTATGTAAATAGTTTTAAGTTTAATAAATTCATTAATAGTTGCTTGCAAATTAAGAAATATGTATGTGCTATTGGCACCTATATATGTGCTTTTTGAGGTAAATTACTAAACGTTCGAGTTTTGAATGAAATTTAATCGTTAACGTATATTTTCGCAGATGGCTGGAAAGCCGAACACTCAAGCTTTGTACGCTCAAAGCCAGTTAGATCATATGTGTGCCTTGGACATTGACAGCCATGCATCGTTCGTTCGTCTTTCTGGAATTATTTGCACAATCGGTCCGGCCTCAAGGTCCGTCGAAACACTCGAAAAGATGATCGAAACCGGCATGAACATCGCCCGGTTAAATTTTTCTCATGGATCTCACGAGTATCACGCCGAGACTATTAGCAACGTGCGCCAAGCGCAGAAGAATCTGTCCAGCCGGACTGGCATCAACGTTCCTGTAGCGATTGCACTCGATACTAAAGGTCCAGAAATCCGTACTGGACTTTTGGAAGGCGTACGTAACTCGTTCATTCGTATGTTTCTTACGTGTTAACACTAGAACTACCCAAAGTGGTCAAAATGACCAATTTATAATTTTTGTTAAAAAGCTACCCAAAGTGGTCAAAATGACCAATTTATAATTTTTGTTGAAAAGCTTGTGCACAAAGCTTTCCTATTTTTTTCACTTTAATGTCTTTGATGCGAATTTTATACTTCAGTTGTCGATACTTCAGTTCTAGTGTTAAATAAACGCTTGAAAATCGCGTGAGCTTGAATGAGCAATTGGAAATATTTCAAAGCGTTATATCTAACTGTTTTTATTATGTTCTCAGGGTGGATCTGCTGAAGTCGAATTGGTTAAAGACCAGACATTTAAATTAAGTACCGATAAGGCGTACATGGAAAAGGGCAATGCAAATATTGTCTTCGTAGATTACGAAAATATTTCGAAGGTGTTGAAGGTCGGAAGTCGCGTTTACGTTGACGATGGTTTGATTTCCCTTGTAGTTACTGCGATCAGTACGTATTATTTCTTTATATTCTTCTGAATTGAAAAATTAAACTCAGTAAAGATTTTTGATGTTCGTATGTATTTAAAAAATATGCAAGTTTTGAAAATTTGTTAATTTTAATTGTTTATCAAAGAAACACTGAAGTCTGAGCATGAACGATAAGCCTCGAGTTTTCTGTCATTAATTAATATAATGTTATAATTTGCGTGAATGAAAAAGATATAATGTAAAGATCATTAGTAAAGATCTGTTAAAAAATTGAAACTGGTTAAAAATTATACTACGCGGATATAATTGAGCAAATTCGAACAAAAATAATGTGAATTAATTTAATGGATTCAAAGATAATCCTTTCATGTTATCTATATATGTATTTCAGATCCAGACGTGATTGTGACTACCGTTGAAAACGGTGGAATGTTAGGTTCTCGCAAAGGTGTCAATCTACCTGGCTCTCCTGTAGATTTGCCAGCCGTTTCTGAAAAAGACAAATCTGATTTGCAGTTTGGCGTTGAACAAGAGGTTGACATGGTCTTTGCATCATTTATAAGAGATGCCAAAGCTTTAGCGGAAATCCGTTCAATCTTCGGTGAAAAAGGAAAGGACATTAAAATAATATCCAAAATTGAAAATCAACAAGGAATGACAAATCTCGATGAGATTATCGAGGCTTCCGACGGTATTATGGTAGCACGTGGTGATCTTGGTATTGAAATACCACCGGAGAAGGTATTTTTGGCACAGAAATGTATGATCAGTAGATGTAATAAAGTTGGAAAACCGGTGATCTGTGCTACGCAAATGCTCGAGTCTATGGTGAAGAAACCACGTGCAACTAGAGCTGAAACATCAGATGTAGCTAACGCTATACTCGATGGTGCAGATTGTGTCATGTTATCAGGTATAAATTATGTTATATTATTAATTTATATATATGTCGTGTTATTAGGTACAAATTATATTGTTAATTCACAAGAAATTTCTCAATTAATTAATACATCTCGATATCGAAAACGAATTGTTTTATATGTTAATAAATATTAACGTAACAATATTTATCGCTTCGATAGGTGAAACTGCCAAAGGAGATTATCCATTGGAATGTGTGCGCACAATGGCTAATATCTGTAAAGAAGCAGAGGCTGCAATTTGGCAGACACAAATTTTCCAAGATCTTACCAGCAAAGCGTTGCCACCAATTGACGCTACTCATGCTATTGGAATCGCTGCTGTCGAAGCGTCTGTAAAATGTTTAGCTAGTGCTATTATAGTAATTACGACTAGCGGTCGTTCTGCGCATTTGGTTGCAAAGTACAGGCCACGTTGTCCAATTATCGCAGTAACTAGATTCCATCAAATTGCGCGACAAGCGCACCTCTACCGTGGCATTTTGCCTCTTTATTACGAAGGTAATAAAATATAAATTACATCACAGCTTTTGAAATTAAGTTCATATTTAAGCTCAGATATATTTCACATAAAATAAATTTCATAATTCTTTTTGTTTGTTTCCTACGTATTATAGAAGCACCACTGGCTGATTGGGTGAAAGACGTTGATGTACGTGTTCAGTTTGGTTTAAAATTTGGTAAAAGCCGTAATTTCATTCAGTCTGGAGATTCAGTTGTAGTAGTCACTGGATGGAAACAAGGCTCAGGATTTACGAACACACTTCGTATTATGTATGTAGACATAGATGTTCCTCGAGAATATGAAGTATTTACTATACGTAGTCAAACAGATAGCTATGAATATATCATGTAGTTTCTACATGTTTGATGTATGCAGTGCATTGATATCATTTGTCGACTTCCCATGCATGCGCTTTATAAAAATATGATTTGTTATTCCATGTGTTTATTTTAACAAAGTTTATTTGTTATATTTTTTTTAACAAAGTTTGTTAAATGAAGGAAAATACTTAATGTCCAATTGCAATTAACTTTTATATATTTGACGTTGTTAATAGTTTTTGTGTAATTGAATGTTACCTTATAGTTATATGTTATTGTCATATATTTGATTATTTTTACAAAAGCGAAGCAAATAAATTTATTTTAGTTTGTGCTAGTGTTTTCAATGTAATTATTGTAATTAAATATTGCAAAATTAAATTAGTTCTTAAAACGTAATAATTTTAAGTATGCATTATTTAAAATTTATTCTATAAAATAATATTAAGATATATTTTATCCATATAATATTGCGATTTGGTGATTAAAAAATTGTTTGGAACATACTGTGGTGAAAGTACTGACATAATTTACTGATAAATATTATTTTTATATCTTAATCTTTGTGTTGTTAACTGCGATAACTATGTTTTTATTTGTAACAAATTAATTTTTATATTCTCACTGTTTAAACACACAAGTTTAATATCTTAACATCTTATCGAACATCATAATTTTGATATATATGTATATATATGTATATATATGTATATTTTTTTTTTTTTTAGCACGGCTGAATAAACGTCTACTGGTACTGTAAGAAGCAGAAGATACTAAATAATTCTAGATTTTGAAAATCCGATATTTATGTAACTTATACTATGATGTATGGTAACCTTAGTAACATTATTGGGAGGATAACACTCTGAAGATGCCAGTAGCTGCAGTATTATTGCCATTACAATTAAAAGTTCAAAAATACAGCGCACCGAACTGTATATATGTGTATAATTACATGTGTATATTAATTTTTATACATATACATATATACATATATACAATATCCATTGTTAAACAATAAAGTACAATAATTATTTGAAACAGTAAATTATTGAAACTTGGATTATTGCTAGGAGAAACACTATGTTTTATTCTTTAATTACTGTAGAAAGTATAAATAAAAAAATTTATTTTATTTTAGTGTATTCTTTATAATCCTAAATTCAATACCTAATTTGTATATACATATATAAATATGAAATGTAGTTAAACGCATCAGCTTTAAGATACATTCACGTAGAACGCAGATTAATTATGCAAAAAGGTCAAAAGTCATACATATTTGATTAATGGTACTATTCGAGTAGAAGCTTCAAATCTTTATTCTTTATAAGTTTTATAAGTCAAACGAGATATAGGGAAAAAGTTTAGGATCTAAAAATGTAGATGCAGTAGCGAAAGTTCATAAATTAATCCCCTTAATTAGTTTTTTTTTTTTGCAAATGAAAATTTAATCAATTCATGGACACCGAAACGTCGCGTAGCGGTGAAACGGTGGAACTAAAATATATTGTTGTGTTTGTCACATAATGTTGCGCTCTTTGTCTCGACGACGCTGCCATCTACACACCTCTCACCTTCGACGGGAACTAAAACGATAAAAATGAAAAATCCGATAGATGACAGCACGTGTATCGATCATGTAGCGACCGATATATCTCCAAAATCTACAGTGGCGCCATCTATACAATCATCCTGTCGAAAAGTACGATTCCTGTAAATCGACATTATAAATTGTAAATTGATAGTTTATTTATTACTATGGAAATGTTATTGCCATGATTACTTGTTTATAGAGATGTATACATAGAATTACATGATGAAGACAAACATCAAACATATAGTAAGACACTTGTATCGTCTACTCGCTCTGATGGATCGAGTGACTTGGAGGGGGGTAATGTAGCGACCGATATATCTCCAAAATCTACAGTAACGCCATCTATACAATCATCCTGTCGAAAAGTACGATTCCTGTAAATCGACATTATAAATTGTAAATTGATAGTTTATTTATTACTATGGAAATGTTATTGCCATGATTACTTGTTTATAGA